GAGCACACAGATCCAACACAGCCCCCGCCTCCTCTGAACACTGCTTCTGTTTGAAGGCAGGGGCCACTTTGTTGCCCATTTAATTGCATTTCTCTTTTATAAATCCTTCCAGGGTGGAGGATGATATAAATTCCTTCGCGGCAGGATCTAATATATAGGATGGGTGGAGTTTAGCCCAGGGAGTTGCTGGCTGATGGGAAAGAGAGAAGTCATGGGAGAGAGTATCACCTAGAGAACTGACACTTTATTTTTTCCTCCCCTTAGGTGGGAAATCCACAGTAGCTGGGTATCAAGAAGTACATCGCCACACAAAAAGGGAACTGTCATTACCTGAATGGAGGATGTAAAGCATGGAAGATTGTGGAGATCTTAAATGGTTTATTGGAACTGTGACTTTTATAATAAAATAAAATTGCATTGGATTGCGCTTCTGACTGCTTCATGTCTCTGAAGTGGATTCTTGCTGTTGAGAAGTGGGATAGTACACTGGTAGGCTTTCATAGAAAATGCATCCCATGAAGTTCCAACTTTGTGAAGGAGAGTCCCGGTGCACCCAACAATGGTCTATGTAGGGGCCAGTGGTGGGGGGAAAGTGCTGTCCTGGAACTAAAAGAAGCATTTAGGCCTGAAGTGACTGCTATCCCTGGCAAGGAGACATCCTGTTGTCAAGAGAGACCAGGAGAATGTTGGATGAGTCTGCCAGTTTGGCTCCTTGTTGCTCAAATACCTGTGGGCAGAGCTTAAGGCCCCCAAAAAGGAACGTTACACAGTGACGTTACACTTGATTGCCTGTGCTCTTTCTTCCTTCCATGGTGCAGCACTTTTGTGGGGAAACTGCGGAGCCTCTATCCCGCTCTCCAGCCTAGCTTTATGCCACCTCACTCCCAGTGACATACTCCAGACTTTGCCTTAGCATTAAACATGAACTTGTTGAAGTTCTGGACTTCTGAGGATCCTCCTTCACATTCTTCCCTATGACATACAGGCTTGATACATAGGGGCTCCATGCTGTGATGTCGGGCCTGGAAATGGGGCACTGGTTGTTAGAGAGAATGTTGTGTTTAGAAGGCCAATCTCCACAAGAGCACTTTGTCATCCCTGACAAGACACCATGTAAACGCACTGACTGGCAGCTCTAGCACAAAACACTCCACTGGTTGCCCATGGTGACAACATCTGATCTTTCACTTGCACGTTCACAACTTGGTCACCCTTGGTAGTGCCCATCCCCCGATGTAAGCTCTGTTCTTTTGTACACCTTACCTGCACAACTTTGGACTTCAGACCAGGTATCTAGTAGCTTTACTTAAACTTCTTGCAATTACAGAATTAATATGACACAGTCTCCCACAGATTCCTCTATACACAGTTCTATTCCATTCTTACTCCAGCTGTCTGGTTCATACCTCTCAGATTCCCTAAATTTTATATTTATTTCAGGTACTTATATAGCGCCGTCAATTTACACAGCGCTTTTACATATATATTGTACATTTACATCAGTCCCTAACCCTCAAGGGGTGTACAATCTAAGGTCCCTAACTCACATACACATATTAGGGCTAATTTAGACAGGAACCAATTAACCTACCAGCATGTCTTTGGAGTGTGGGAAGAAACCGGAGTACCCGGAGGAAACCCACGCAGGCACAGGGAGAACATGCAAACTCCAGGCAAGTGGTGCCGTGGCTGGGATTTGAACCGACAACCCGAGTACTTAGGTCCATGCTCTGATTTCCAGCATCCCGACTGGGTACACCAATAGGAAAGCCATGTGCTCAGAGTAGAACTACATTCTACTGTGATTCTTTCTGTCTTTTCCAATGCGAATGCCCCCAATCCCCTAATAGGCTGCCTCCCTGTGGGCTGTGTGTAGGGGGATCGTTGGCTTGCTTTACAACTTACCTTTTGGTGGAGCAGGTCCGGTGTCACCCCGTGCGGTATGTGTAACCCGGTGCAACCCCCACACCTGCCTCGGGACGCCACTGACGTTACCGTAAGTTATATGTAAAACTAGGCTGACATTTTTACGGATTACTTCTCCATGAATAGTCTCTGATGAATATTTTTCTCACACTTCTCACACATACAGTTTTTAAGTAATTTTCTGGAGCAATTTACAGCTGAGTTCTTGTTTTGTGGCTCATCAGACAGCCTACATTAATTCAAATGACTTCAGAGGACTGCATACTTAATTATGATGTTTGCAGTATAGATACTATTTACACCTTAAAGACTTGTGTAAACACAGTCAGTAAAATCTCCTACAAGCTTTAACATGTTAATGAATTTTAATTTTCAAACCTGCAGCTTTCTTTATATTAATATCTGGTGCATAGCTCCCTTCATAATAATGCTGCAGTAAACTTTTTATCCAACCTCTATATCACTGCATTTGTTATTTTGAACAGCCAACATAAAAGAACAATAGAGGTAAAAAAAAATTGTAGGCAGGTGTCTACTAAGGGGTATATGGTTTAGCCAGTAAGTTGAGTCTTCCCAGGTTAGGGAAGGGTTAAACTTGGGTTGCCAGTCTCCTGGGCTTTTCTTTCGGTTCTGCCTTCCTTCTTGGTCTATATATAAATGGGAAGGCCCTTTTTATAGGGAAGATGTAACCTGAAGTTACCTTTGTCCAAAGTATGGATTCTCACCAGTACAAGTATGCCTATGTTACAGGATTATCGGTAATCTGCTTGCGAGGTATGACAAAGATACACCCTGCAGTATCTTTATCAAGAGGAGAGCACAAAACACATGTTGCTCACTTGCTCATTTCCTGTTTAATGTGACAAACAGAAATGGATCACATTATACAGATAATTACTTTCTTTATAGTTGCAGCGCAGGCCACATGGAAAAGCACACCAATTTGTATAAGAGAATTACCATTACTATATATAGGATACTAAACAGAGAAAGTGAATGCCAGAACAAACACAAAACTGAACAAAGATAGCATAAACAAAGTGTGACTAACCTGTATCAAGAGAACAGCACAAAACACGTTGTTCACTTGCTCATTCAGAGTTTAATGTGAGCTAGTTGGCATTAGTCTCCTGAAATCACACTACAAATCATTAGAGCTTCCTCTAGCTGCAGCCAATAATAGCAGTACTGGGAGATTTATTCATTTACTTACACCTGGGCAGCCACAGTGTAGTAAGACATGAGGACTGTGTTACATTTTAGCTGTGATGTCTCCACATGTTTTAGAAAAATTTGTTAACTGTTTCAAGCCTGGTCTGAAGCCATTGAAAGGAGTTCACGGTGGTTCCTGGTTTATTGAAAGAACAGGGCCGGTATAGTAAACATGGGATACAGAAGAAAGGGCACTACAGAGGGTTAACTCAGCAGAAGGTGTGGAGGAAGAGAACATTTGTCATGGGTAACCAAGAACTGTTGGAAAGTGACCAGCAGACCATTAACAAGCATGGTACCTGATGTGGGTGATGGGTCCTGTGGTAGAGAGGGGGCGGTGTTCTGGCTCCCTATCTAGCAGTTGGTTCACCTAAAAGTATCTAGGACCAAACCCGTGGTACAGAGATGCCAGGTGCCCAGCTGCATGGTATGGGAGAATAGGAGTTAAATTTAGGTACACACATGAGGTGCACAACAGGACCCCATTTTGTCACTGGGAGTGAGGTGACAAAGTTACGTTGGATTGGTGGAGAGGGCATAGGCTAAGTGGTGTCCTCCTAAATGCAAAATTTCACAGGAAGGGTGTGTAGAAACATGGGACAGTATGTTTTACAGAAACTATAAACAATGTATGGGGTACTGCCATAATGTTGATTTCATATGAACATGGCCCCCCTGGTGTTGGGCACACACGTGAAAGGTACCGAGTAGGTCCCGCCAACAAAGCACTTGTGTGGTTTAGTCAATAATTTTCCACATTTTAGACCTCTGTGGTTCATGTAACCATGGCCATGGCAGGGATGTGTCCTTTGCCTACATACTGTGAGCTAAAAGCTATCCGTCAGAAAGGTGTGAGTTATGCCTGATGATCCTGCCACATAGTCCTCGTTCAGGCCTTTCCTGTGCTCCTTTGTTGTCACCCTGTCAACTGAGCTTCTGATGGAGACTATAAGTGTCTGTTTCAATATACATTACCTTTCAGTACATACACAGACATGGTCCATCCTCAGGAAACTGTAGAAATGCCATGCAACCATCAACGGAGAGCATATAGACAGGAATTGACTGCAAGGAGTAATTCATTTAGTATTTAGAAGCACAGAGATTTAGCAAATGTTGAATAAAAGAGTATGTAGCCAAACAAAGTTTAATAGAATTGTAGCCAGATGCGGCTATATTAGTATGCCTTTCAGGGACATATACAGATGAGATTATGATTAATCCTTTTCCGCCAGTACTGGGACTGCTACAATACATCCTGTTAGCAGAGTGGATCCAGTTCCTCTGACACCAGAGGATCTTGGGACCTGTAGTCCTATAGCCAATACATACTGTATTTCTGAGTGCTGACTGAACTACAGAGAGCTGGCAAGAACAAATATATTCTACAGCAAGGGATTGGCTCGCTGTCTAGGTGTGGGATGCAGAGCTGAACACACTACAAAGACAGTTTGCTAGACTACTGCTACTGGACTCTGCACATCAGTTCAGCACAGCGGTGAGGTCAATCTCCACACTAGGATCACATCAGTCTTCTCTGCACTGAGACTGTCACTGTGGGGCGCTCATAGACTCCTCTGCTCACCACGCTGACAGGCCGTCAGGTGGTAACTCTGCACATCCCAGCAAACAGCCAAGCACCTGTGCAGGAACTCTTGTTCCTAGGAGGCCGTGCTATCCATGGGAACCTCTTTCTGTCATCACTTTAGAGACTGCATGCAAAAACCTTTACACCTCATTATCAGATCTTTGCTTTGAGCATTACCACAGCCTGTTTAGCTTCACTGAATTACCAGTATTCACTAATGTTTATGGGCCCCACCACTGCCGGCAGAAGACAATGGATATCACCGTATCTGGATCTTTAACCGCCTCCCGCCCGCCATATAGTCCAATGACATGTGCAAGGCGGTTAGCTCGTTCTGGGAGGACGTCATACGACATCCTCTTATTCTAACCGCGCATGCCTGGCTCCGGGAGCGCCCAGCGCGGCGATCAGTGGTGCTGTCAGGAACCATCGCGACGCATGGGTCTACACATGCGTAGGTGTCTGCCGAGACATATAGGTGGCAGGGCACTAGGACCCAGGCGCACCCGTCGTCTGGACAGTACTAGGCAGGCACTGGGACCCAGGCTACGCCTGTCAGGTGCAGGGCGGGCTATTTAAACTAGCCCTGCACAGACACTTGTTGCCGAATGGTCTTTGTATCCTGTTACCTGTGTGTAAGTACTTCTGATTTGGATTGTTTTGACCTTGTTGCCTTCTCCAGTCCTGACCCCTTGGCTTGCCTGACTCTGCTCCTGGATGTTCCCGTTTAGATCTGACCTCCTGGTATTGACCCTGCATATGACCCGACTATCCTTTGCCTACCGTTTTGTACCTTACCGATCCGCTAGTTACCGACCCGGCCTGCATGACTCTGATTTAGCTCATCCATCCACCCACCCCGCAGGGATCACTAGGCTCCCTTACATCAGACTCCTAGCTCTCTGGAGCCCCTGTCAGACTCCTCTACCCCTGTTGGAGATACCTGGTAGTTGCGACCTGGTACTGGAGCGCTCCAAGTCCATCCCCACCATCAGGGGCCCTGGTGAACAAGTGCTCCGGTCCTTAGACTCCGCACTCTGGGGAGGCTCTACCGGGGGACTGATAGAGGTGCTGTCAGGCGGTCCGTTACAGGTGCGCTGTGTCCCTCGGACACAGCGGATCACGGATCAACGGAAAGAGCCAAAGATGTCGGCTCGGCCATGTGATCAGCTGTGTCCAATCACAGCTGATCGCATGTAAATAGGGAAATGAAGGTTATCGGCATTTCTCTCTTCACGAGCTGTCATGCTGACAGCTTGAGAGAAGAGAGAGAGCCAGTAATCGGCATCCCTCAGAGGGGACATGTACACTGATCATCAGGGCACTGATGATCAGTGTGCCCTGATTATCTGTGTAGCCCCAGCAGTGCCATCTGTCAGTGTCCATCAGTGCCAGCTGTCAGTGCTCATCCATGCCACCTGCCAGTGCCCATCAGTGCCACATCCATCCACATTTCAGTGCCTACCAGTGCACATCAATGCCCATCTGAGCTGCATTTCAGTGTCACCCATCAGTGCCAGTCAGTGCCACCTATCAGTGCTGACAATCAGTGCCAGTCAGTGCTGCCTATCAGTGCCAGTCAGTGCCACCTATCAGTGTGCATCAGTACCGCCTATCAGTGCCCGTCAATGCTGTCTGTCACTGCTGCCTAACAGTGCCAGTCAGTGCCACCTAACAGTGCCAGTCAGTGCCGCCTATCAGTGCCACATATGAGTGCTGCCTTTCAGTGCCCATCAGTGATGCCTGTCAATGCCCATCAGTGCCACTACCAGTGCCTCCTCATCAGTGCCACCCACCTATCAGTGTCCATCAGTGCAGCCTATCAGTGCCCATCAGTGCAGCCTATCAGTGCCCATCACTGCAGCCTCATTAGTGCACATCAGTGAAGGAGAAAAATCACTTATTTACAAAATTTTATAACAAAAACTAAGAAAAAACTTTTTTTTCAAAATTTTCAGTGGTTTTTGGTTTGTTAAAGAAAAAATAAAAAACCCAGAGGTGATTAAATACCACCAAAATAAAGCTCTATCTGTCACAAAAAAATGATAAAAATGTCATATGGCTACAGTGTTGCATGACCGCGCAATTGTCATTCAAAGTGCAACAGCACTGAAAGCTGGAAATTGGCCTGGGCAGGAAGGGGGTATAAGTCCCCTTCAGGTTAGTGGTTAAACATCACAGGACTCAAGCTGCAATCTCTAGTTAAAGGAACTCTGCTCTTTAAAAGCCCCGTACACACGGGCCAAATATCGGCCTGTATCAGCAGGTTCAATAGAAACTGGCCGACATTCGGCTCATGTGTACACCTGCCTGTCCAACTCATTTGTCAAACGGGCAAACCAGCATCTGATCAGTGCTGGCAGCCAGTGGCTGCCAGTGTTCACCAGTTTGTTCTGGCGAGGGGCTGTTCCCCTGTCAGAACACAATAGCTCAGTGGGGAGATCTCTGTACTAACATGGGATAGTTAGTACAGCGAGCTCCTCCCGAGCAGTTTTTTTTTTTCGTTCAACCCAGCGGTGTGTACCCAGCTTAAGGACTTTGTTATTCACATTAGGGTACTTACATCTATTTATTGCAGAGTATACATTTAGATAATTCACTGCATCTCCCATTGTAGAGTCGGTGGCCTAGAGGGAGCTGACAAGTCAGCAAGCCTATTTTCCCCTCTTAAGCCTAGTACAAGTGATCAGAAAATCGTACGAGAAATACCACTTTTGAAGCGATCATACGATAATCTGATCATTCGTACAAAGCTGTTGTCCAAAATTATTTGAAGGAAGGGACAAGCACGAAAAATTTTCTTGGACGATACCAGATCGAACGATTTTTGTTTAGCCACTTGCAAACTGCGCTTTAGCCGAAGGATGGTTACAGCGTGGTTGTCCAGTCCTGGGAGGGCATCACAAGACATCCTCCCAGAACGCACCGTCCTGCGCGTCCCCGGAGGCAAGCCCCCGGAGGCGCGCACTCGGCGATTTCCGTGATCTCTGTGTCCTAGGACACAGCTGATCACGTGATGTGGTAAAAGGCCAATCACAGCAACCTTTTACCACGTGATCAGCTATGTCCAATGACACAGCAGATCACTGGTAAATGCAGTTGCTGGTTATCGGCTGCACTTTCCTCATGCTGTCACAGCGTGAGGAAAGTACAGCTGATAACCGGCAATTGTCAGAGGACGGATCCGCACAGATCATCAGGGCACTGATCATCAGACCCTGATGATCAGTGCCCAGCAGTGCCACCCACCAGTGCCACCCACCTGTGCTCAGCAGTGCTACCCACACATGCCCAGCAGTGCCACCCACCTGTGCCCATCAGTGCCACCCACCAGTGCCCAGCAGTGCCACCCATCACTGCTGCCCAGCAGTGCCACCCATCAGTGCCCAGAAGCGCTGGCAGTCGGTGCCCAGCAGTGCTGGCAGTCAGTGCCACCCATCAGTGCCACCTATATGTGCCCATCAGTGCCACCTATCAGTGCCCATCATTGTTGCATATCAGTGCAGCACCATCAGTGCCCCCTATCAGTGCTGCCGATCAGTGCCCATCAGTGCTGCCTATGCATGCCACCTCATCAGTGCCGCCTATCAGTGCCCATCAGAGCTGCCTATCAGTGCAGCCTCATCAACGCACATCAGTGAAGGAGAAAAATTACCTGTTTGCTCAATTTGATAATAGAAACAAAGAAAAACTTTTTTTTTTCAATTTTTTTGCTCTTTTTTTGTTTATAGCGCAAAAAATAAAACACCCAGCGGCGATTAAATACCACCACCAAAAGAAAGTTCTATTTGTGTGAAAAAAATAACAAAAATTCCATATGAGTACACTGTTGCATGACCGCGCAATTGTCATTCAAAGTGTGACAGCGCTGAAAGCTGAAAATTGGCCTGGGCAGGAAGGGGTATAAGTTTTCATCTGAAATACAATACAAATACATTACATCAATTCTGAATTTTCTTTCTGTTATACAAGAATTTTTGTAACTTTAGTAACCTCTTCACTTTCGATATGAGACTAGCAGGCAAAAAAAAAAAAAAAAAAAAAACAGCCGATCATTCGTCTAATATTCTCATCGTGTGTACAAGGCTTTACTCCAGCAGTTTAATAGTCAAAGCTTACTACTCATGACTGTATAATTTGTTAAATGTTGCTAATTGATTATTTCTTATTCACCATTGTTCTTGTTTATGCATTAACTGGGGTTGTATATCCTAAACCCATTATTTCTGTGGTCTACTCTTTTGAACAAGTCTAATACAGAGGCGTTAGTAAAGAATTGTGTCTCTTGCATTAATATTCTCTACTGAACTATGTCTGGACCCGGAGTGTCAGAGGTGTCAGGAGGCTTGCAAGGTCAGGGCAACCACTGGGGACAAGCATGATCAAGCAGCCCAGTGGGGATAACGCTACATAATGATGGACAACACTCCACCCCAGTTCAGATCCAATGCAAGTCAAGGCAATTCAGACAGAAGTGGACTTTGGACTGGACACCTATCCCCAGTAGAAAGGAACCCACATGAATAATATACTGTATATACTGTAGATTTTTTTATTTAAACCCAGTAGTCGCTATTTTATGGGTAACATTTGACTGCATGCCTGAACATATTATCAGAATGTATGCAAAATTAATTAGGTGTCAAGCTGCCAACACGCTATAAAATACAGCACAAGGAGATAGTAGACAAATCACTGAAGGGGTTTGGTTGATGTCTTGTGTACTATGTCTACTGACAGAGAAGACAATGTTCAGAGTTCACTCATTGAAGCGCTGTCACCACTTCATCCGGCAAGACACTGTTTTGACTGATAAACTGTTTTTATCATGGAATATTGGAGTCTGTTCGACACTGGAAGAAATGTTAGTGCTGGAAACAAACCAGAACATTAAAATTCTAAGAACTGTAAGTACAATAAAAAATATATTTATCAGACACCATCACAAAATAATTCCTTAAACAACTAGTTAAAGCTGACTACCCCCCCCCCCCCCCCCCCCCCCCCCCCCCAATTCCCAGACGCACACAGATAATGATTTTGTCAAAAAGAAAACAGGCATACAAGTTTAACAGCCCTAAACCATTGGCATTGAATTTGTTCTTTGTATATAATCAAGTAAAATGAATAATTAACTGATATTGTACTTTTCTTTCTGGGGATTCCAAGCTCTAATACTCCGTTCACACTTGAATGTTTTTCAGCTCGAAGGAAATAAAATCCTATTATTTCTAATGGCCCCTGTTCACACTCGAGCCTTCTGTCACCTGTAGCAAAATGCCTGATGCTCAAAAAAGTACTTGTGCTACTTCTCAGGCAAATTTGAGCATTTTGTCCCCATAGACTTGAATGGAAAACACCTGAACAGTGCGAATGAGTGTTTTTTCAAACATCTACATGAAAAATGCCTGAAAAAACTCCTATAATATTTTCAAATCTGTTTTAAAAAAACACGCTCATAAACGCCTGAAGAAAAAGTTTGAAAAATGCCAGAAAAACACTCAGCTCAGTGTGAATGTAGCATTACCAATTAGGTGTTGGGACAGATGGGAGGTGAGGCAGCCACCTTGGTTGCGCTCAAGAGAATATCCTACTAGGGATATCCTTTTGGGAGCCAATTAACTTACCAGCATGTCTTTTGATGGGAGGAAACCTATGCTAGTACAGAACATGCAAATTCCATGCAGATAGCATCTGGAGCTGACCATAGATAGATTGGCTTTTTTAATCAGTCAGCTAGTTGATAAAAAAAAAAAAAAAACAAATGGTTTCTCCAACCCACACATTTGAGGTTGATGGGGGAATCTTCCCTGCTGCACTAATGAATTCTGTCAGCAAGACTCCTCCAATTGGCTGCTAGAGCTGATTAAGTAAAAGTATACCAACAGTCTCATTTGGGATAAGTCAGGCACTAGATCAATTTTTCTTGAATAGGAATGGCCATAATTGATTGAAAATCCAAATTCTCATCCATGCATGGTAAGCTTTGGCTTTGGTCTTGGCAGATAGTGTTTTGGCCTTGGTCTTGGTAGGATGCAGGAATGATGCCCTTGCCCCCCTTTCCCCTTCCTGCCCCATTCACAATGTTGAGAGAATGTGACCTGTTATGATTCAGGAGGGGGCCCATGCTCATTGCCTCACCCTTTCCTAGCCAGCCAGGCAGCATGCCTGGATAAGGGCCTTTTATGAATTTGTATGAGGCCCCCAAGCTGTTTTTTTTTCTCTTACAGAGTCAGTACACACCATATAAAAAATAAGGGAATCTAGAAGTCCCGATGTTGATAGGACAAGGGCCTCATTGTTGGGCATCAATCAAGATGAACAACACCCAACATAGTTGACCCACTGCCCTGATGATCCTCCTAGCCTGAAGATCTTCCTCTGCCACTACTCCTCATGTGACTAATTCCCATCGGCTTCAAAATGTAAACAAGCTGGTGGGGATCCTCAGTGATGTTGTTGACAGACTTCTGGCTACATCAGCCAGAGATTTGGGCAGACGGGCAAATGGGACAATGGGGTGGTGCTTGACTGGAGAGGTACTGCAGCTGGAGAGGAAGTCAACAGAAACTTGGTTTCTCTATGGTTTC